GGAGAAGGAGAAGGAGAAGGAGAAGGAGAAGGAGAAGGAGAAGGAGAAGGAGAAGGAGAAGGAGAAGGAGAAGGAGAAGGAGGGGTAGAATGTTTGTGACTCTTCAGCTTAGAAAACAAAATTGCCAAGGGAATCCCAGTTGCAGGACAAGAACGGGAGAGGGAGAAGTCCATCTTCTACACGTGGGCACTCCAGAGGCCCTTGACTAGCTCCCATGAGAAACACACTGGACTAAGATATGCCCTGGGTGCTCCCACAGACAATTCTAGAGTTCCACATACATGTCGTTTTTAAAACAAAAGAATCTATTAGGCCTAGTAGTCAATATATGGAAAACACTGAGTGAGAAGGGAGTGAATACTGTATGTTATTTCAGAGGTCACCCTAGAAACATCTGGCAACTGCTGCGTACGTATTGCAAGCAGACGTAGGTCCCACCACAGAGGGCTGCAGTTTGTTCGAGGAGTAAGAGAAATCAGAGCAAATGCCCAGTGGACAAGCCAAAGAGGTCGATGCCCTCCAAACTGCTCACAATTCTTGCCTCATCCTGGAAAGCGTCAGAGCAATCTCCATTTCTTGTCCACCAGTTGCACAAAACACAACAGCAATTGCATTTCACAGGGCAAGGGTCCAGCCTACGCCAGTAGAGATTTGCTCAGTGGCAGGATTTTTCTGCCTATTTGGGGGGGGGGGGCATCCAGCTAAGGTTGATGGTGTCCTCAATCCAGTTGCCGCCAACGGAGCTTAATTTAGCGGCAACCAACATCTTGCTCTTATCGTTATTAATTCAGCGCCATCAACATGATGCTGAATTAATAACAATGAATTCAAGCAAGAGGAGAGATCCAGGTGCACAAGGGGCCACCAATCGACTGCTCAATACAAAGAAGACAAGTAGGGAAACTGAGGTAGGGGTCACCAGATAATGAAGTTCAGTTGTGTTACTCAAGGCCGTTACGGGATGATGAAATTAACGGGATCGCTTCTTTGCTCAAATGTGACTCAGTGGTGCCAAAGTAACTGAATGCAACACTATAGAATATAATCCATTATTCCTAAAATAATAGACTCCTAAACACAAATGCACCATAAATGTGTGATGCACACAAGTACAGAGGCACACAGGCCTGCAACAGCTGCTGGGCTGATTCACCATCGGTGAGGTGTAGCTATTAGCATCTGCATGTATAAGATCGACCTCCATAAGTGATACCCAGAAGAATGAACTTCATTTATCTCAAAGCAACAGAGTAAATTCACCCTCAGCTGCCAGTGGTGGATGCTTCAGCTGCACATCTGTGTGACTGAAGGCACTCCATTGACCCAATGCACACATGGAGTCAAACACACATACTACAAACAGCCAAGGCAAAACACTGGTGTAGACTGGGGGGGGGGTTCTCTGTACACCGACGGGTTCTTCGCCGCTAACCGAAGAATCATTGTACAGATGTGGAAGATTGTCACAAACAGGTTAAATGCCACTAAAGTGCAAATTCTCACCACCCTAAGAAGCAACATTCACAAAATTCTAAAGCAACTTGACCTCCGAGACAGAAGGTCTGGAGGGCCCCAAAATCAGCTAAATCGAACAGAAACCTAGGTTGAGTCAACTTCATCAAAACTTTTAGCCACAATTCAATCTCTCAGTATTCCTTTAAGAAAACCGCAACATTTCCTGCTTCAGCCTATCTCCCCAGCAGGACTGGCCACAACACCTTCACCCTCAGCCGGTCCAGGAGGATGGGAGTTGTAATCCCACGCGTCTAGGTGGCGACGCTTGCAACGGACGCACGCGTTTCTTTTTCGGGAGCAGCAAAGTGAACGCTCGCCCACCCGCCGAAAAGACCCCGGCCTCGTTTTCCTCTTTAGCCCCGAGCGGTCTCCGGCTCTGGAGCTCTCCTCTCCTCCGACCGCGCCAGCGCGCCGCGACGGAGCGAAGGAAGGCGGCAGAAACGGACTTCTTTCAAGGAAAGAGCCCCACTTCCTCCAAGACCCGGGCTCGGTGCACGCGGGCGTGCGCCCGGATCGTGAGAAAACCCCGCTGCTCCCCGCGAGCCTGCGGTTGCAGCCTTACCTGCCGGGCTCGCTGAGTCTTCTCTGCCCGCACGACCTCCGCAGGGCTCGCCCTCGATCACGGGGCTCTAGAGAGGCTCGCGCGCACTGCCCCTTTCGTGGGAGGAGAACTTCCCTGGGCGAGGGGAGGGCGGGAG